GAATGGGGTGTAAAGGAGGAAAAAGGGAAGGTGGAAAGCAGAGGAAGAAGGGGGGAGGAGGGAAGGAGAAGGGGAAAGGAGGGGATAGGGATTTGGAGGAGAAGGGGGAAAAGGGAAAAGTGGGAAAGGGGAAAAAAGGGAAAGGAAAGAGAAGGAAAGGAGGGGAGAAGGAGAGTCTGGGAGGGAAGGTGGGATAAGGGTTGGAAAAGGGTGGTAAAAGGGGGTTCTGGGGTAAAATGGGGAAAAAGGGGATTTGGGAGACTTTTGAGATAAGGGATTGGGGGCAGCAGGATCTGGGAAGATGTTATGGGATGTGGCTGCACCAGGGGGAGTTTGGGAGCAGCAGATTCTGGGGGTGGTTTGGGATTGGGACTTATGTCCTGCAGGATTTGGGGGGTCCCAGCCCTGACATCCCTGGGCATTCCCTGTTCCCAGCTCCGCTCCCTGCGCTGGCAGCTGGCGGTGCCGGTGATCCCCCGGCGTGGATACCGCGGGGATTCCCCCCCGGATTCCGGGAAGGACGTGCTGGAGATCCCGCTGCCCCCCTGGCAGGAGCGTCCCGAGGAGCCGCTGGACACCAAGAGGGCCCGGCTGCTCTACGAGAGCAGGAAAAGGGGGATGCTGGAAAACTGCATCCTGCTCAGGTGGGATCGGATCCAGGCGTGTCCCAGGGGGGCATTAACAGGGAGGAGCCCCGAGAGTTGTGGGAAGAGCTTAGTGAGGGACTGCACAGCCAAAATCCATGGGATAAACCATCCCAAGGGCTCTGCTGGTTCAGGATCCAGTGGGGTGGATGGAGCGGAGCCAAAATCCTTTGGAGGATGTGTGTAAATCCTTCTCCCATCTCCCACCTATATCCATCCCTTTTCCAGCCTCTTTGCCAAGGAGAACTTGGGCAGGATGAGCGAGGAGCAGCTGAACCGCTACGACCGGCTCATCAACGAGCCCAGTAACGACTGGGACATCTATTACTGGGCAACTGGTGCGTGGGGACACCCCTTGGGACACCGGGATGGGCCCCTGGGACACCGGGATGGGCCCCGGGAGATCAGGATGGGTCCCCAGGACACTGGGATGGACCCGTTGGAGATGGAGATGGGTCACTGGAACACTGGGATGGGCCCCTGGAAGATGGGGATGGGTTACTGGGAGACCAGGATGGGTCACCTGGACACTGGGATGGATCACTGGGAGACTGGGATGGGTCCCTGGACTTCGGGATGTGCCACTGGGATACCGGAGTGGGCCCCTGTGGTGCCTCGGGACAACACAGAGCTGATTTTTCCCTGTTTTCCTGCAGAAGCCAAGCCGGCTCCGGCGGAATTCGAGCACGATGTGCTGGACATGCTGCGGGAATTCGCCAAGAACAGGAACAGGGAGCAGCGGCTGCGGCAGCCGGACCTGGAATACCTGTTTGAGCCCCCGCGCTGACGCCTCCGTGCCCGTTCCCTGGAGCAGCGCAGGGACACGGGGATCTGTGGAATTGCTGCTGCCTTCCCTGTGGTTCTCCTCCTCTTCTGGCAGCCTCTGGACACTGTGGAATGCTGAATAAAGCCGGGGCTGCTGGCCCTGCTTCCCTACATTGTGACCTCAGGGTCCAATCCTTGGGGACATTCCCACCTCGCTTTGGCACATCCTACCCCACTGATATCCCTAATTCCCACCTGCCCCCTTTTCCCCGGCTCCCAGGGAGGTGGCCCCACAGCCGGAGGGGCTGTGCCCCCTCCCGAAGTGCTCCAAGCTCCACATTCCCGGTGCTCTGGGACTCCCCGGAGTCCCGTTGTCGCGGTTGCCAGGAGACCGAGTCACATTCCGCGGCAACATTCCACACCCTCTCGGCCGGCCGGGAAGGCCAGGAGCCGCTGCCAGCACCTCCAGCCATGGCGTAGGGCCCTTCCCTGGGGTTATCCCAGTGCCAGGATGCCTTCCCTGCCGCAGGATTCCCCCGCCGGGGGCTTGGGCACGGGATTCCCGCTGGTGAGGGTGCACGGCGGGGACCGCTCCGACCTGCTGAGCTTCTACGTCACCACCTACGAGGTGTCCTATGGGAAGAGACCCCTGGGATTATCCCACAAGTTTGAGGGGCGTGTTTTGGGAGTCAAACCCCCCGACCAGGCGTCCGTGCACCCGCTCCTGGGGGTCCATTCCGGATCCGGATACGTCACCAACAACTACTCGGCCCTGTCGTCCCTGATCACCCCGCGCCCTGAGTGGTAGGTCCCTGCTCCGGGACGAGTTTGGGGGGGAAAATGTTGGGATCGCTCCATCACGGCCCTTCCTGCCACAGCCCGGACCCCTTCGTGTCCATCTCCGCCACCTCCGAGGATTTCAAGCCCTTTGGGCGCCCGCAATTCCAGAGGATCCTGCCCCAGGGTGTGGATGAGCCGGAGTGTTCATATCCCCCAGAGTTTTCCCTCTCCCGGATCCGTTATGAGGGGCTGAAGCCTCCAAAGTTATCCAGGGGATCCAGCGCCAAGAGCGGCTGCACCAGTCCTACCCAGCCAGGTATGGATTTGGGAGGGGGGGGATCCAGGGAAAGCTCCCTGGGAGGGTTTGGGGTGTTGGGACCCCAGGGAAAGCTCTGTTCCCAGGAAGATTTGGGGGTCCCAGGGAAAGCTCCATTCCCAAGAAGATTTTGGGGTGTTGGGATGCCAGGAAAAGCTCCATCCCCAGGCGGGTTTGGTGTCC